GTGCAAACTCCCAGCTGGCTCCTGTCACTGCTGACTCATTGGATGCCTGTCAGTGCTGCCCACCAGCAAACACTGGAAGGGGCTGGACTGAGTGTATGTGGACTAAAGAATCATTTTATTTGTAATCATTTTTCAAAGTAACAACAAGTATCAAAAAAGTTTTTTTCTTCTATGAAATCACCGCAGTTAAAATCTGTCAATCAAAGGGCGCTGCCATGTGTGCTAAAGAGCTGCCAGGGGTCGGATCTAGTCCTCATATCCCCCCCAATAAATTGTATATATTAGGTCATGGTGTTATATACCTGTTATTGCACAGGTCTGGGGTATGCAACTTTGAATATTAACATTGTATGTGCCCTGATTTTGGATCAACATCAGTTATGAGTATTTAAAAAATGTCCCAATTTTGGGTCTACTGTGCATAGTTATGACCTCCTTCTGGAGAAGCTATTTGGAGTAAGTATACCCCCCAAAATTGAAAAGTCCTTTTTGTAGCTTTTTGGACACCTGACCATCAACCCTATAGGAGCTTGTTGGACACCTGACCATCACCCCTATAGGAGCTTGTTGGACACCTGACCATCACACCTATAGGAGCTTGTTGGACACCTGACCATCACACCTATATGAGCTTGTTGGACACCTGACCATCACACCTATAGGAGCTTGTTGGACACCTGACCATCACACCTATATGAGCTTGTTGGACACCTGACCATCACACCTATAGGAGCTTGTTGGACACCTGACCATCACACCTATATGAGCTTGTTGGACACCTGACCATCACACCTATAGGAGCTTGTTGTACACCTGACCATCACACCTATAGGAGCTTGTTGGACACCTGACCATCACACCTATAGGAGCTTGTTGGACACCTGACCATCACACCTATAGGAGCTTGTTGGACACCTGACCATCACACCTATAGAAGCTTGTTGGAGATCCCATTGCAAAACCATAGTCAATACAGAATTGGTCCCTAGATGGCGCCTGTAATAGCCTCTACTCTTTGGCATAAAGTAACACATTAATGAAACAACCACCGATGAGATGTTCAAATTTAAAGAATAAGTATGTTTTTGTATAGTTGCCCTTTAAGTCACCCCCCCTCCTCCCCCATAAAAGTTTTATACTCATCTGTCCTAGGTTGCTGTGAGATGCCCAAAGCCACCACTACAAACTCGGTCAGTGAAAATTCAATTTCCTCCTATGGAGAGGCCCCATCATAATCTCTCTTGGGTTAAGTATTGTGTAGAGCGAAACACATTGAAGATCTAACCCAACCCATTGCACCCCTCCTGTTCTCATGAAATAAAGAAGATTCACATTTGACTTAGGAGTGCATTGTCATACTGTAGCACTGCTTGTAAATTGAAAGTGTTTGAAGGATTACTTGTACTGGTTAGTCCAGCTAAAATATTTATTTTTTATAATTTTTACATTCAATACCTCCTGTCACAGGCGGAGTGATACCAAATGCACTCCGCCTGTGAGGAATCCATAGTGAAAGCGCGCTTCGCTCGTCCTGGCCAGCGATTGGTTAGCAAATTGCTCTTGGAAAGGTACGGCACCCCTGATCACCATATTCTTGTACATGAATATTGTACAGTAAAAATAAATAAATAAGACCTAGTGGAGGGAATTTATCAAAAATGGAGCAGATGAAATCTAGAGCAGTTGCCTATGGCAACCAATCAGCTTCTCTTTTCAGTCTGTTCAGTTAAGATTTGAAAATGAAAGGTGGATGCTGGTTGGTTGCCATGCACAGCTGCTCCAGATTTTGTCTGCTCCAGTTTTGATAAATGCCCCTTTTAGCCCAAAAAATATAAGACAGTGTCTTATTTTCGGGGAAACGCGGTAGTGGGGAGCCTGAAGAGATTCTAGTGAGCGCGCTTGGTACCGCCATTGGCAGTCCAGGACCGGTAGACGGTGTCCTATGTGTCCCAGTGACAAATCCCGCCCTTACTCTAGACCTCTGTCATGAAGACCTCTTCTCAGCCTCATTTTTGAGGTTGGCAGCCAACAGCGACACAATATACATCATTTTGCGGGAATCCAAGGCAGTCACCTGACCAATACATGGCTGGTTTTGTATTTTTATGGAAATATTGGCAATCAAGTTGCCGCACGCCACATTGCCACCAGCCAAAGCTTAGTGAGTTGGTAGCTATATGTTTTATAAAACATCGGCGCGGTCAACTCTGAGCCAGAAATGAGGTGATTGTGTTGGATGATGTCACAGGAAATGTGTGGTTCCTCCCCCCGCTACCGATGTACATTTGTATGTCTGGGCGAGGGCTCTGGCATCCTGATATGAACTAATAAGCTGACTCTGGAGGGATTAATGGACACAGTGGAGGGGGATTAGTGGCTTTATTTTCTTGTCAGGCTTTGCTGGGTAATTCAAAAGGCCTTGCTTCGCTCAGCGAACCCGCTTGACACATTCCCTCACAACTACAGTGCTGGCAACGATCACTCATTAGGGGGTTCTGAAACCAAAATCCCGCACATCAGAGGGTAGTAGGTGTAGACAGGTTTGGTGGTTGCTCTGTGTTATTTCAAGGTGCCTATAAAGAATGTGCCCAGGGTTTGTTTTACTTGGGAAGAGTCTATGCCCTCACCCCTCAATCCAGAAATAGAGTAGAACCATTCAGGTTATGGTTATAAAGGGACTAAAGGAACCAAAACTTCCTCCAACTGAATCAGTAAAGCCTTCTTAGACCAGTTGCAGCATTTTTGGCCATCATCAAGCCAATGTATGGAAACCATCACTTCTGTGGAGCAAGGCTTGATATAGGAGGCTGCATTGCTGACCACTACTGTAAGGAACATTCTTCCCACTGACCATCAATGTAAGGAACATTCTTCCCACTGACCACCAATGTAAGGAGCATTCTTCCCACCGACCACCAATGTAAGGAGCATTCTTCCCACTGACCCCCAATGTAAGGAGCATTCTTCTCACTGACCCCAAATGTAAGGAGCGTTCGTCTCACTGACCCCCAATGTAAGGAGCGTTCTTCTCACTGATCACCAATGTAAGGAGCATTCTTCCCACTGATCACCACCGTAATGAGCATTCTTCCCACTGACCACCCCTGTAATGCTGTACATGTTCTGTAACCAATCCACCTGAAGATATTGGGGTCAATTTATCAAAACTGGAGCAGTAGAGTCTGGAGCAGTTGCCCATGGCAACCAATCAGCTTCTCTCTTCAGTTTGCTCAGGTAAGATTTGAAAATGAGACAAGGAAGCTAATTGGTTGCAGTGCAAATCTGCTCCAGATTTTGTCTGCTCCAGTTTGGATAGATCCCCTCCCCTCCCCCCATGGTATATCGCTACAATCTGACTTGTCACCAATTGTCGTGTCGTTGTATTGTATATGCATCACGCATACATTACCCCAAAACGCAGCAAACAGGAGACTTGTCAGTAGATAAAATAAGACCCAACCAAAGTATTGTTATAAAGTCCTTGTTCCTGTCACTCCCTCTATCTTCCATATACTGGCTCTTTGTACCAGGCGGCTCCCCCGGCATTCTCACACTTCTTGACCTGCAGTAATCCTGACTCAGCAGACGGGAGGGCCGGCTCCTCCGCTTGTCACTCTCTGTTCTGTCCTCAGATGCACAATTTTAATTTCCTTCCATTCAAAGGAAAATTCCATCGTTAAAAAAAAATAAAAAAAAAATAAATACGCATTTCGTTACAAAATAAAAAATTTGCATTTTTTTTGGGTTGCAATTTTGACATTTTGCAATTGCAACTGCGATCGGCGGATCAGGGGACCGGGGGTGCAATGCTCTGGCTCCTGCAGATTTTCCTGCAGGAAAAAAAAGAAAGAAAAACAATTGGGTGGAGCTGGCAGTGACAGCTTGCTCCGCCCAACTGTTTCCTATTGGCCGGCACCTGCCAGAGTCTTCTAGCAGCCAATGAATAACAACTGGGCGGAGCCGGCTGTGACGTCATGGCCGGCTACGCCCAGTTGTTATTGTTTAATGACAGATCAGCGTCCCCAGGTCATTTGGGGTAGGGTCATGGCGCATGACAGGTGTGTATTTGGCGCAATGGAGGTGTGCAGTAGGGCCATGGCGCCAGACAGGTGTGTATTTGGCGCAATGGAGGTGTGCGGTAGGGCCATGGTGCCAGACAGGTGTGTATTTGGCGCAATGGAGGTGTGCGGTAGGGCCATGGTGCCAGACAGGTGTGTATTTGGCGCAATGGAGGTGTGCGGTAGGGCCATGGTGCCAGACAGGTGTGTATTGGGCACAATAGTAGGGCGCCAAGAGGGTCATGGCGCCAGACAGTGACCCATTCTGCTATGCGCTAGGATGGAATAGTTTTTTTGTGACATGTGATGCGCTGAAATAAGGTCACATGTGTTAATTTGCATTCCCCAACAACCACCAATTTTGGTTGATCTGTAATTTGGGCTTTTTTTTATAATAAAAATGAATCATAATCAATAATAAAAATATAACTATAAAAAAAATACAAAAACAGGTAAAAATAATGTTTTAAGTCAACTATGGAGTCAGGAGAACCAGAGCATTCATGATTCCGTGTCTCTAAACAGCAGCATTGTAACAAGCAGGGCGCGCTCTACCGTGATATGCATTGTACCGTCATCACCAGCACAGGCTACGCACAGGGCCGGATTTCCCACAAGGCCAACCAAGGCCCGGCCTCGGGGCAGCAGGGTGGTAGAGGGGCAGCAGGGGGGTGGAACTCCTATCTCCCGATGCCCGGGCGGGTAGTTTTTCTCTACATTTAGCCCGGCTTTGGGCAAGCAGAGCTAAATGTACAGCCGGGAAGCCGTCGCTTGTTTTGTACAAGTGATCTCTGTGACATTGTATGCAGACTGCAGGTCTGCCATTCTCCATTGGGGTTTGGCGGGTAGGGGGGGCGCATTGAGGAACCTGGCCTTGGGGCAGCAGAGAGAGTAAATCCGGCCCTGACTGTGCATGTTCTATCCGGGACGATCCTGACTTACCGGCATATCCCCGTTCACACTGACACTCATACCCATTGATCAGGTCAATGCACGTCCCTCCATTCTGACACGGGCTGGATGTACACTCGTCGATGTTCACGGAACAGTTTTCCCCTAAAAAAACATAAAATATAAAAAGTTAGATCACTTTTTTTTTCCATCCCTGTAAGACCTGCCTCAGTACTCCTCTCAAGAGCCCTCAGCTCTGATGCAGGCAGTGGGAGGAGCTATGCAAATATCAAAATTAGTTGATGGGCAAGTGTCAGTCTGGAGGAGTGGGCGTTCCTAGGCAGGCTCTATTTGCATGCAGACCACCCACATGTGATGCTGAGCCTCCATGATTGAAAGAACTGAAATCCAATGAATGGAAGGGGCGGGGCCAGGGGCAGCAGAGATAGAGAGGAAAGTGCTAGATGATGCTGGATGCCCCCCAGCCAGGAAATGAGGTGGGCTCTGTCTGACTTGCTGCAGCTTCTAATGCACATTGTGAGAAGCTTGCGCTTATTCCTTTTGAACTAAACAATCCCCTCTCCCACTCCTGCAGATCTATACTTACTGCTGCAATGTTTGACAACCATTGCTACAGGTCTCCCTCGTGTGGCCACATCTGTATCATGGAGGGGAGATGGTCCCATAGAAGTCTAACAAGCCCCCTATTTAATAGCAGACAGGTCCTCTTTATGGAGACATCAGGGGTCTTTCAGACTCCTAATGTCACCTAGGGACCCCAAAGAAGCTGAGGAAGTAGAGATCTGCTTCACCAGCTTCATCTCCTGGCTCAAGGAGCCGGAGACTGTAACGAGTGACACAGGAAGTGATGTATTACGCATCACTTCCTGGGTCCAGTGATCGGAGGAGAGATCAGCGGCTGGAAGCTTGCAGCTGGTCGGGGGGATAGCGGAGCCCGGGGAGGCCGACGGCAGCCCGGGGGGGTGTTGTAGGCCCGCCATGGTAGAAACTAGAGATGCACCGATACCACTTTTTTGGGTCTGAGTACGAGTACCGATACTTTTTTTTAAGTACTCGCCGATACCAATTACCGATACTTTTTCTTAAAGGGGCAGATCACATTTTTTCCAAAGCAATACAAAATAATGATTTTAGGTCAGTTTCTTAATATTATGAAGAACTGTAACTCAAAAGACAACATGACTGTCAAAAAATAAGTTTACTTTGCTTAAATTGTCACAAAGTTGTACTCAACGAAAGTTAGTAAAATCTCAACGTGCCATTTGAAAAAAGGCCACAAGATGGCGTATGGATAGGATGGAAGCAGATGGAATTGTGTAGAAAAGTGAAAAAA